ATCTATCTATCTATCTATCTATCTGTCTGTCTTTCTGTCTATCTATCTATCTATCTATCTATCTATCTATCTATCTATCTATCTATCTATCTATCTATCATCTATCTAATCTATCTATCTATCTATCTTAGATATATGTTGCTGTTATTGTTAAGTGCCATAGAGTAAGTTCTGATTCAAAGCAACTCTGTATAGAGTTTCCAAGGAGTGGTTGGTGTGTTTGAACTGCTGACTTCGTGGCTCAAACCGACCTGCGGTCAAGTGCTTTATCCCACAGTGCCACACCAGGGCTTCTTATAGATATATATATATATTCCACAAATATATTAAGTGTTTGAAAGAGGATATTTGCACATGAGTAACCACAGGGACTTTAAAATGTTCAAGAACAAAGATACCAGTTTGAGGACTAAGGTGCTCCTGATTCAAGCCCTAGCCTCATATGCCTGTGAAAGTTGGACAATGAATAAAGAAGACCGTAGAAGAATTGGTGCATTTGAATTGTTGGAAAGAATATTAAAGGTACCATGGACTGCCAAAAGAACAAACAAATCTGTGTTAGAAGAAGTACATACAGAATGCTCCTTAGAAGCCAAGATTGACAGGTGTAGGATCAGAGGAAGGGAACAGGGTAGAAATTAGTTAGTCCACCAAGGGCAAGAACCAATCCATGGCAAGAGTAAGAGGGGAATGGCTAAACCACAACAACACAGACATCTTGTGGTTTGTGCAGTGGAGAGCATCTGCGACCAGAAAGAGAGAACTGTACTTAATGTTCAAGCCTCTGACTTCTGGGAACGTTGTATGCTAAAACAAATTTAGTGCTTTGCTGAAGATTTTGGTCTGCTGATCTTTATCTAACTTCACATGGAGATAGGGCTTGCTAATCCTATCTGTTTGTGACATTGAACTAGGTCTTAAATCAGGCCATCTTGTCCTGTGAACTTGACAAAGATGGCCAGACTTCACCTCTCATACTTTGGACATATTATCATGAGGGAATAGTTTCTGTAGAAGGATATCATGCTTAGTAAAGTGGAGGGGCAGCTAAATAGAGGGAGACCCCAAGGAGATGGATTGGCACAGTGGCAGTAACATCCTGAGGATGACACAGGACCAGGCGGTGTTTCATTCTGTTGCACATCGGGTCTCTATGGGTCTGAACCAACTCAATGGCACCTAACAACACCAACCACAGGGAGCGAGAGGGGCAATTGTTGCATGGAGGTCATTGCAATCACTGAGATGAAACAGTGTATCACTTGTTGATTGTAAAACTGATGATCTCATCTGTAAATCTTCACTCAGTTCACAATAAAGGTTAAAAAAAAAAAAAAAGACAAAAATGTAATAAATGTTTAAAAAACTAAAATAATATTAAAAACAACAAAAAACAACCCATTGCTGTCAATTCCGACAGTATAACTGTCCCACAGGGCTTCTAATATTGTAAACTTTATAGGAGCACACTGTTACAGCTTTCTCTAGCAAGTGTAGCTGGTAGGTTCAAACCACCATTTCAGTTAGCTGCTGAATGCTTAACTACTGTGCCACAGGGCTCTTTCTTTCTCTTTTTTTTTTATTGTGAATTAGGTGAAGGTTTACAAAAAAGATGCATTTACAGAGCAGTGTTTTATCTTCAGCAATTCATACACCCTTTGCTTCATCTCGCTGAATTGCAATTCTCTAAATGTAACACTTAATGTAACAACTGGACTTCTGGTATGGCACTGTGGATCACAAGGTCGGGAGTTCAAATGCACCAGTTGCTTCTTGGAAACATTATACAGGATTGCTATGAGTTGGAATCGACTTGTCAGCACTTAACAACAACAATGTAACACACTTGTATTTTCGATTTCAATCCTCATTTTTCCCTAACCCTTCTGAACTCTGAATAAATGCTGCCCTTTTGATCACAAATGGTAGGTTATTCCAGAGTTGTTCTTCTTCTTATTGACCCATCTATTGTTTTTCTGGTAATTGAACCAAGGGGGTGAGTTAGTATTAGATCCAAAGGAGAAATAAAGGACATAAACTCAGGGACTCCATCAGTGTTTATTTGACTAGTAAGCCTGGTCTTTTTTTTTTTTTAAACGATTTTGAGTTTTGTTCCATATTTTTCTCCCACTTTAGCAAATGTGATCCCTTCTAGAGCAGTTGCTAGTAGTAGTCAGCTGCCATTTAGTTCTGGTTGTAGGGTCAAGGAGACTGATGTTCATGAGGTTCACTCTTCTTTTCTCTGATGAGAGACTGATAGCTACACCTCAGACTGCTGCTCACGAGCTTTTAAGATCTCAGATGCTATTCACTAAAGTAGGATGTAGAACACTGTCTTTGTGGTATATGCTATATCAAGTGAACTTGGTGCCCCTGGAGACTGGTGCCAGGGGCTACTTTAAATAAATAATATTCAGAACAACTATATTCCAAGTACATGGGAAAGTATGTATGAGATTAATATAAATCTTCAAGCTTTTGGTTAGCAGTTAAGCGTGGTAAGTATGTGTACCACCTAGGAATGCCAACAGATTATTTTTGTTGTTGTTACTTGTCATCTATTAGAACACGTCTGTTATAATATGTCTAGCGGTTATAAATCGGGCTGCTATCCTCAGGTTCAGCAGTTCAAAACTACCAGCAGGTCAGTGGGAGAAAAATAAGGCTTTCTGCTCCTGTAAAGATTTTCAGCCTCGGAAACCCTGTACAGGGTCGCTATGAGTCAGGACCGACTCCACGGCACATAACAACAACAATAATATTCTAACACAGTCCTGCTGTGGCACTGTGGGTTAATGCGCTGGACTGAAAAGTTGGTTTATACCATAAGGTTGGCAGTTCAAACTCACCCGTCACTCCTCAGTAACCATATACAGGGCCCCTATGGTTAGGAACTGACTGGATGGCACGTAACAACAACAATATTCTAACAAAAGAATTTTTTCATTTGAAGTATTTATCAATCCATTTATTTTTATAAGCATGGACTGATGGTTACTTATTTTAGTCTTGTTGTTAGGTGCCCTCAAGTTGGCACTGACTCATAGCAACTCTATGCATAACAGAACAAAACACTGCCTGATCCTGGGCCAGCCTCACAGTCATTGCTACATTTGAGCCCACTGATGCTGCATTGTGCCAATCCATCTTGTTGAGGGTCTTCCTCTTTTTCTCCGACCCTCCACTTTACTAAACAAGATATCCTTCTCCAGTAACTGGTCCATCCTGACAATGTGTCCAAAGTATGAGAGATGAAGTTTGGCCATCCTGGTCTCCAAGGAGCGCTCTGGCTGCACATCTTCCAACACAGATCTGTTGGTTCTTTTGGAAGTCCACGGCACTTTCAATATTCTTTTCCAACACCATAACTCAAATGCATCAATTCTTCTATGTTCTTCTTTATTCACTATCCAACTTTCACATGCATAGGAGGCTACTGAAAATACCATGGCTTGGGTCAGGCCACCTTCGTCTTCAAACTGACATCTTTGTTCTTGAACACTTTAAAAAGGTCTTGTACAGCAGATTTGCCCAATGCAATACATCATTTTATTTCTTGACAGTGGCTTCCATGAGTGTTGATGGTTGATCCAAGTAAAATGAAGTCTTTAACAACTTCAGTCTTTTCTCCACTTATATGGATGTTACTTATTGGGCCAATGGTGAGAATTTTTGTTTACATTGAGGTACAACCCATACTGAAGGCTGTGGTCTTTGCTCTTCATCAATAAGAATTTAAGTCCTCTTGGCTTTCAGCAATCAAGGTTGTGTCATCTGCATATCACAGCTTGTTAATGAACCTTCCTCCAATCCTGATGCCACATTTTTCTCCATATAATCCAGCTTCTCTGATTGTTTGTTCAGCATACAGATTGAATCAATATGGTGAAAGAGAACAACCTGGCACATACCTTTCCTAATTTTAAACCATTCAGTTTTTTATTCTACTATATTCTTATTCATGTATAGCATTTATATTATCTGTATATCATATTATATTTATATGTACATTATATGTACATTTGTAATACTATTTATAGTTTATGCTATGATATTCATATTCATGACTATAAATATTTAATTGTTCATGTTGTTCCCAATCATTAGTTTTAAACTTCAGTGCACACATGACCTTTCTGTATTTTTTATAAATGAAAATATTTTATTTCTGTACCATAAAATTATAATGCTGATCTCAACTAGATTCATTAGCTCTAATAAGCTAATTATTAAAGATGAAGTTAACTTACCTAAAGTTAATGGCGGAGGCTTTGGATCAAGAACATATTCTTTTTCTGGATCTTCCACTTTGGGGCTCTGTGTAGTTTTTTTAAGTCCAGTATCAATTATTGCTTTTGCCTCTCTTTTTAAAGATTTGGATCTGTTTTCTTTTTTTTGCACCTTTGTCTTAGAACAATCTGCTATTGAAAGATTTAGAAGTTGAAGATCATGTAAAATGTGATCTTGTAAAGCAACTGCAGTAACGGCTAAATTATCTTTTTTGGATGAATGATCCTGAAAAGTAGTATTGAAAAAAAACAACAAAAAACCTTATATGTAGGAGGATCAATTAAAGGAAAACTAACAGTTTAATACTCAACCTTGATAGCATACTAGATACAATAGCAAAATTCTTTTACACATTGTTATCTAAGTCACCACCATCTACAATCTCATTATTTATGTTAACGTAGTAATTTTTTTGTTTATTAAGTCATCTTAATTATGAGTGAATTCATTATGACCTACAAACCCCATGCATGCCTAAACACAGACTGTTTCACTATAACTAAATTTGATTCCAGGCAAATCTTGTTTCTGTTCAGTAAAGAAAGCCCTCCGTTTAAGTCTATACTCTTTGGGGTGGGGGTGGGGGTGAGGAAGAACAATACATTTCTTATGCAGAACGAAAATTGCCATACAGCTAGGAGATGTTTGCAATAAATACTACAGAAGATTACTTTTCTCTTCAAGTTACCTATTGCTCCCATGCCAGACTTGGCATCTCCCATTCCTGCTGACAATTCCTAGTTGAAGTAAACTTGCAAATGATTGGTTACACTCTCAAATTTCTGAATGAAAATATATTGCACAATAAAAATGAAGGGTATATTTTAAAAAAGGATGTATACCTTATTTTTTAACATGCTGAATCAGTAAATGTTACTGCACGCTCATTCTTTTATATGGTTTCATTGTATCACATTACATTCCTTTAATTCTCCTACAGTAGAAACATAGCAGAAAATTAAATTTAGGGTGAACATCAATGTTTTATGATAACAAGTGAGTATCAAGAAATTAATTGATAATCAAGGAATGGTAACGCCGTCTACAGTCTAGCACCAAGCTATGTATTTTGATTCTGGAGGAAGGGGGAGGAATTGAAAACAGACATCACCTGATTCATTCCTGCCCTCAAGCAGCTAACCATCTAACTGATTAAAACATACTAATATAAACCAGAAAAATTCAGTGCTAAATGATGTTGTTATGTGCTGTTAATTCTGACTCAGATAGTTTATGTTGTTGTTAAGCGCCGTTGAGTTGGTTCCAGTTCATAGCGACCCTTAATAGATAGGTTTCTGAGGAAGGGCTGTTGGGTTTGAACCGCTGATCTTGTGGTTAGCATCATACCAGGACTCTGGAAACCTAGAGGACAGAGTAAAATTGTCCCATAGGGTTTTCTAGCCTATAATATTTACAGGAGCCAATTGCCACGTCTTTTTTACCCCAAGGAAGCAAAGGCGGGTTTGAACTACTCACCTTTTGCTTAGCAGCTGAGCACTAACAATTGTGACTCCAGGGTTCCTTGCTAAATGATGTTGTTATTGTTAGGTGCCACCCAGTCAGTTTCAACTTATAGTGACCCTATGCACAGTAGAATGAAACACTGCCTAGTCCTATGCCAACCTCATTATTTTTATATTGGAACCTATTGTTATTGCCACTGTGTCAGTCCATCTCACTGAGGGTCTTTCTATTTTTGCTGATCCTCTATTTTTCCAAGCATGATGTCCTTCTTCAGAGACTAATGCTCCTGACAACGCGTCAAAAGAACAAGAGACAAAGTCTCGTCATCCTCGCTTCTAAGGAACATTCTGGCTGTATTTTCTTCCAAGATATATTTATTCTCTGACAGTCCATTGCACTCTCTATATTCTTCTACAGCACCATAATACAAATGCATCAATTCTTCCGTGGTCTTCCTTATTCATTGACCAAGTTTCACATGCATCTGAGGCAATTGAAAGTATCCTGGATTGGATCAGGTGCACTTTAGTACTTAAACTGAATCTAACACTTGAAAGAGGGCTTTTGCAGCAGATTTTTGTATTGCATTACATCTTGATTTTCTTGACTGCTGCTTCCATGAGTGTTGGTTGTTGAGCCACGCAAAATGAATTCTTGGACAACTTCAATCTTTTCTCCATTTATCATGATGTCATTTTATTCTCTTAGTTTTGAGATGTTTTGTTTTCTTTATATTGATTTTCATCAGTATTTTAAGTCCCCTTCACTTTCAGCAAGCAAGGTTGTGTCACCTGTATATCATTTGTTATGAGTCTTCCTCCAGTCCTGATGCCACATTCTTCTTCATACAGCCCAGTTTTTCAGATTATTTACTCAGCATGCAGATTGAATAAGTATGGGAAAAGGATACAACCCTGGCACACAACTTTTTTATTTTAAACAATTTTTTATTTTAAACTATTCAATGTCCCCTTGTTCTGTTTGAACAATTGCCTCTTGAATGCAGATTCCTCATGAGTACAGTGAAGTATTTTGGAATTTCCATTCTTTGTAAAGTTATCCATTGTTGGTTATGACACACATAGTAGAATGCTTTTGCATAGTCAAGTAAGCTTCTTTCTGATATTCTCGGCTTACAGCCAAGATCCATCTGGTGCCAGCAATGATAACCCTCCTTCTACTTCCTCTTCTAAATCATACTTGAATCTGGCAGTTCCCTGTTGATGTACTGCTGCAAATGTTTGAATTCTCTTAAGCAAATTTTTACATGTGCAATTAATGATATTGTTAGATGATTTCTGCATTTCGATTGGTCACCTCTCTTTGAACTGGGCATAAATATGGATCTCTTCCAGTTTGATGGCCAGGTACATGTCCTCCAAATTTCTTGGTATAGATGAGTGAGGATCTTCAGTCTTGCAACAGTTAGTTGAAAAAATTCAATCTGTTGTCTGTCAATTCCTGGAGTCTTGTTTTTGCCACTGTCTTCAGTGCAGTTTGATCTTGTTCCCTCAGTACATAGGTTCCTCTTGAAATGGTTGAACATTGACCATTTCTTTTTGGTACAGTGACTCCAGGTATTCCTCCCATCTTCTTTTTATGTTTTTGCATCATTTTCTATTTTGCCTATAGAATCCTTCAATATTACAAGTCAAGGCTTGAATTTTTCCTTGAGTTCTTTCAGCTTAAGAAATGTTGAGTGTGTTCTTCCTTTTTGGTTTCCTAACTTCAGATCTTTGTACATTTCATTAAAATATCTGATTTTGTCTTTTTGAACTGCCCTTCAAAATATTCTGTTCAATTCTTTTATCTCTTCATTTCTTCCATTTGCTTTAGCTTCTCTACATTCAAGAACAAGTTTTAGCATCTCTTATGACATCCACTTTGGGCTTTTGTTTCATTCCTGTCTTTTTAATGACCTTTTGCATTCTTCCTTTATGTTGTTCTTGATGTCATCCCACAACTCTTCTAAGTCATCATTGTTTCATGCATCAAATCTGTTCTTGAGATAGTCTCTAAAATCAAGTGGGATATACTCAAGGTCATATTTTTGGTCTCTTGGACTTGTTTTAATTTTTTCAGTTTCACCTTGAATCTATATAAAAGGAATTGATGATCTGTTCCATAGTTTGTTCCTGGCCTTGTTTTGGCTGATAGTACACATAAATGACAGTCTATATAAATACAGCAAAATTTCAGCCTTAAAAAATCAAGAGAATAGAAAGTGGAAGAACTTTTTAAGGAGATGATACTTATGATGGGATTTCAAAGATAGAGAAAAGAGTCCATATGTACTGCAGAGGGGAGAAGCAGTAAGTTATTGAAGTGATCTAGGAATTAGTATCAAGTGTGGCAACAATTGTGAGATTGGCCCAGGCCTGGGCAGTGTTTCATTCTGTTGTACATAGGGCACTATGAGTCAGTACCAACTCAATGGCACCTAACAAACAAAAACAGGAATTAGTATTGATAGCCTAAATATAAATATGAAAAGGAATAAATCCAAACTATGAGTCTATTTCTAAGGAATAACAAGTGCATGAAACTAGTATTCTAGAAAGAATAAATTTATTAAAAGAGTAAGTGTATTAAAAGAAAAAAAATAGGTTCAACTATATGGCATACAACAGTAACAAAAGGAAGAAAAGGATGAAAAACAAACTCACTGTTTTTAAAAAGATGAAAATCAAACTCACAATTCCGACTCATGGGAACCTATAAGACAGAGTAGAAGGATACTATAGATCTTTACAGAAGTTGACTGCCTCAGCTATCTCCTGCAGAGCAGCTACTATGAAGACTAGTTGAAAGAGGTAGGCCTTGGTAGCAGCGGAGTCCTGGTGTGGTGCTGTGGGTAAATGAGCTGAACTGATGGTCAGTTTGAGCGGCAAGGTCGGCAGTTCAAACTCAACAGCCGCTCCATGGAAACCCTATAAAGGGTTAGTATGAGTTGGACCCTACTCCACAGCACTTAACAACAATGTAATTGATTACCAATTTGTTTAAGAGACCGTAAGTTAATAAACATATTAATTAAAAGTACAAGCACACAAAAGATATATAGAAACATTTTAAAAATACAACACTATACACTGTTTTACAATTATTTTTCATTCATGATTTAAAAATTTTTTGTTTAGAAACTTATGAGATTGTATTTAAAATTTCTAACATGAGTTTATGGCAAGACTTGCAGTTGCCATAAACTATACAACATGTCAATCTCATCACGTCTTTACAATACAAATAACTGTTGTTAAGTGTTCTTCAGTTGATTCCAACTCAGAGCGACCCTGAATAGGGCTTCCAGGGAGTCGCTAGTGGGTTTGACCACTGATTTTTCAGTTAGCAGGCCATTGCTTACCCTACAGTGCCACAATAACTAAGCACCACAAACATCATGGAGTCCTGATGTGGTGCTGTGGGTTAATCAGCTCGACTACAAAGCCATTTGAACTGTAAGGTCAGTGGTTCAAGCTCACCAGCTGCTCCTCGGAAACCCTATATAGGGTCGCTATGGGTCAGAACTGACTCGACGGCACTTCACAACAAACATTATACTCTTATTAGAAGTTTTTACTAACATTCCCACCCCCCCAATTGAATTTTGAGTTAAACACCAGGTTCTGGACTTAGAGAAAAAGTTCATAAAATGCCACAACAGATTACATGAGTTTGTAAACTTTGAAATAATTCCTCCACATCAGTAAAAGCTCTTGTGAACTAGCTCTCACTTTCTCAAGGAAAATATATTTTAAAGCAAGCGTTCATAATGTCAGTTTTACTCAACCATTCCATATATGATGGTTGTCCCTTCCTATCCCGCAGTTTCCACTCTGGGCCTCGATAATTCCTTCCCTCTGGCCCATTTTCATTTTCCTTCGTCCCTTAGCTTTGGGAATACAGCCGCCGCTACCTTCGCCTTCGCCCTTGCCGCGGTTTTCCCTGGAAACGGACCTCAAAGTCACTGGGCTCAATCCGCGACCACCCAGCACCTCACACCAGTATAGCTCCAAAGCCCCCGACCGTTGCCTAGCAACTCGCCACCCGGCTGTTACTTCCCACTGCGCATGCTTCTCGGGTAGTCCCCGCCCCTGTCCGTCCCATCCTGCGCCTTGGATACTACTAGCTGGAGCCACAACCGGGATTTACCCGGGGCTTGTGGCTTCCCTCGCGACGTTCTTACGGAGTAGGTGGTTTGCTCTGCTTCTTGTCCGAAATGGATGTGAGGGACTGAGGAATGCAAGCAGATGTATCCCGCGCATCATATTTCAACAGTAAGGCAGTAAGAGTGCGTCGTCTCAAAGGACTGGTCCTAACACGTTCGTCTGCCGGCTGCTCTGAGGCTCCCGAGTTTGGTTGTTAGAGCCTTCATGTCCCTATTTTCGATCAT